TTGTAATAACCTTTAATGAAAAAGAATATGAAGACAAATATATGTATGTATGTGTGTGACTGGGATATTGTGCTTACACCAGAAACTGACACATTGTAACTGATGATACTTCAATTAAAAAGAAAAGAACGAAAAAGCATTTGACAAAATTCAACACCTTTTGATGATAAGAAACACTCAACAGAATAGAGGTAGAAGGAAACTACGTCAACACAATAAAAACCATATATGAAAAACCCACAGCAGCAAAGACTGAAAGCTTTTCCTTTAAGATTAGGAACAAGGCAAGGATGCCCACTTTAACTTCTATTCAACATGGTACTGAAAGTTTCTAGCCAGAGTAGGGAAAAGAAGTAAAAGGCATCCAAATTGGAAAGGAAGAAGTAAAATTATCTTTGTTTGCAGATGATAAGATCATATATATAGAAAACCCTAAAGACTCTACCAAAAAAAAAATCTGTTTAAACTAATAAATGAATTTAGCAAAGTAACAGGATATAAAGTCAGTGCACACAAATCCATTATATTTCTATATGTAAACAGTGAACTATCTGAAAAGGAAATTACAAAAATAATTCCATTAATAGTAGCATCAAAGAATAAAAGACTTGGGAATTAACCGAGGAGGTGAAAGACTTGTACAATGAAAACTATAAAACATTTGCAAAAACAAATTAAAGAAGACATAAATGAATGAAAAAACATCCTGTGTTCATGGATTGGAAAACTTAATATTGTTAAAATATCAATACCCAGACCAATCTGCAGATTCAGTGTAACATCTATCAAAATTCCAAAAACATTTTTTTTTGCAGAAATAGAACTCATCCTAAAATTCATATGCAGTCTTAAAGAACCTGAATAGCCAAAACAATCTTGAAAAAACAAAACTAGGGGATTTACTTTCTGATTTCAAAACTTACTACAAATTTATAGTAATCAAAATGTTGTGGTGCTATCATAAAAGACACATAGACCAATAGAATAGAGTAGATAGCCCAGAAATAAATCTTCACACATATGGTCAAATGATTTTTTGTCAAGGATGGGAAATGGGTAAAGGACAGTCTATTCAAGAAATAATGCTAGGAAAACAGGATATCCATATACAAAAGAGTGAAGTTGGACCCTTATATAATGCCATATACAAGAATTTATCAAAGACCACAGTATAAGACCTAAAACAATAACATTTTAAGGAAAAAACATAGGAGAAAAACTTCACAACATTGGACTTGATGATTTCTTTGCTATGATTCCAAAGGCAGAGTTAACAAAAGAAAAAAATAGGCAAATTGAACTTCATGAAAATTAAGAAAAATATTTTTGCATCAAAAGACACCATCCACAGAGTAAAAAGAGACAGCTCATGGAATGGAAGGAAATACTTGCAAATCGTATATCTGATATAGAGAACTTCTCAAACTCAACAACAACAACAAAAAACTTAATTCAAAAATGATCAAAGGACTTGACTAGGCATTTCTTCAAAGAAGAAATATGAAATAAGCACATGAAAAGATGTCTAACATCACTAATCACTAGGGGAATGCAAATC